AGCTGACTTGGAGCTGCTGCGGGACGATCGGCGCGACGGTGGCGGCGGGAGGACTTCGTGATCAAGGAGCTCCTCGTCGCTGTCATCGTCCATGGCCATGCCCATGGAGCGGATGTGGACGCGAATGTCTCGCTTGACCATAGCCATGGACTTGGCGTGGATGTGGGCATGGCTGAGGCAGCGACGAAGATCGGGTTCCTTGGCACTGCTTTCCTGGTCATATTTCTCGCCGGAGAGCAGGCTGAGACGGAGGTGCAATGAGGTTCTTTCCAACGGAGAAGGTCGTCTAGTGCGAGGGGCGGGGGAAGGTGATCTGGAAAAGCGGGAGGAGGAAGTGTAGGACATTGTATGGTCTAGCGTAGTTCTGTTGTGCCTCTCTGCTGCGTGTGCTAATGGAGGGGCAGATGCAGAGTCCCGCACCCGAAATGGGAGAGGGAAGGGCGAAAGAATCGAAAGGTCCGGAGAGAAGAAGGAGCTTTGGCTTTGGCTTGTCTGGATGTCAAAAGAATTCTCTCCGAGCTGGTCGGGGAAGGTCTATATACATTTTGACAAGGTGGAGGATGAGCAAGCTTGATAACCGCCAGGTCATGGGACAGGAAAACCTGGTGGGCGAACGCTCTAGAACTCGGTCTGCCAAAGCCAAATCGGCGTTGCGGTGGATCTCCCGGTGGAGACCGACTGTTCCAGCCCGCAATTCAGGCCGACAAACACAGCCCAATCGCGGGTCCCTCCTGGCGAACCTGCTCTTTTCTGCTGTTCCTGAGACGCGTCTGATGATGCAGTCAACTTGGAGCCAATGGGCTGCGTGTGAACAATGCATCTGGACTCGAAACAATCATACTCACGTCAAATATTATACAATCTTGAAACAAATAATCAAAATTGTAAAAGGGACCGCATCAGCCATTGAATCATCACGAAGGAGCGCCAATGTTCCAGAAGCCCATCCAGACAGTCCGTGCACGGGCACGTGGGACTGATAAGCTCGTCGGCTTTTTCTTTTTGTTAGCTTTTTTTTCTATTTTAGATTTCCGTGTCCGTTTTTGTTTTTGTTCGTGGTTTTTTTCTATTCTCGGATACTTAGTGGAGATTTCTGTCACCGTCTCAGTTTCTCGACTCGCTTGTCACAGTCACACTCAGAGTCACATTCATCCATTCATTGATTGATTTTCATGGTTCCCTCCACTTTTCTCCCCCCAGTCTGGATTGTCGAAGATCACTCTGGTGACACATCCAATTCGTACCACCACAGCCTCCACGACATGCTCTGTACATAGAAACATCGTACGTACCCTGGTGGCGATCCCTCCCACCAGAGCCGGTGCTATCCGCAGATCCCATCACGTCTGTGGCAAATGCGACCGCCGGCTTATCTTGCGTGATAAGACGCTAACGTGGGCGATCCTGTTGACCAGGAACTCCCGTCATAGGGCCCTGATAATCCTTGTCTCCTGTCTATCACGATCGATTTCATAGAACGGTCGCAGACCTGTCGCTTACCCTTTGGGTTGATTCTGATTACTAGCAATGTCAATGCTTCTGTGCTCTGCATATGCACTCCACTCTTTTACATCACATGAATGTCACCAATGAGGGATTTCCGTTGAGGGTTATCGCTGGACAGATATCCTGATTAAGGGGAAATGTCATCCAATTACTAGCTACCCACCATCTGCAATAGATGCTGTCGCGGGCAGAGGTCATAGCTCCAATTTTGGGCATTCATGACTTTCTTCAAACTATAGCTAATATTTTCATGCAAGTTTCAGGCTAATACAACCCTCATCAATTCATCTCCGTGCACCACCACCACCTTGTCTTCAATTTCTAGTTCCTACAGCGGCACAAAGTTCCCATCGCGGTGATTTTGCGCGCCAACGCGCCCGGACCATGGTCGCAAAAGGGGCGAAAAGTCAGTCAGCGCAACAAAGCCAGGGCCAACCAACCGAAAAAAAAAAAGGTGGTGGCTGGGAGGGGAAGAGGAGTGTCAAAGGCAATAGTGCGCGAAATTCCAAGAAATGTTTGTTTGGCATTTTCTGTTCTAGTCTTTAGCTCTCTTGCCCCTCTCTGTCCCTCTCTCGCACACACTCTCACTCTCTCCTATTCTTCCGCGCCCCTCCCCGGTCTAGCCAGGAGATTAAACTCTTAGGTTTTTGATCCCACAAAAATTTTCTCAGCGAGGTACTAGTCTCACTGTCTTACCATTGGCTCGTACACTATCTCCTATCCGGTGTCCTGGAAATGCGCCACTGCTGCCGTGGATGCTTACCAGTCGGACCCCTCGGGTACGAAAACTTTATCGGACGTACATACTGGATGAGGTGTATGTTTGCCATAACCACCCACTGCACAGGCACTTCACATTCATCAACATTCAAGCTCTTACGGTCCATTGACTGGTCTAGAATTTCCCTATGATTGCTGATAAGCTTCAGTCTGCAGCAGTGTCTAAAGAAGTTCTTGCAACGCTGATAGGCTTGCTGGCCCCACGTGCCTAGACCAACCGCCGCGGAAGAGGTCAATCACCAAGCATACCGTCAATGAAATGGGCATGGCTTCGGGATTTGACCATGTCGCACAAATGGGAGGATGACACGATCGGGGATTGACCGCCGAAATTAACGGTGTAGGCTACGACTCAGTCATATGGCGCAATATCTCCCAGGCTTCCAAGTGGATTCCCTGAAGGATTGCCGGCTAGTCTTTGATACAGGAAGATTTTGATCATCGCAAGCCTCCTAAAGGGGCCGATAGTCAACGAGCGCATTGGATCTCGGTCATCATTGCACTTGTGTGTCAGCTTACCGACATATGTCGCCTAATTGTTGCGACGCTGCTGATTTCCTCCAGGAAACTAACCACAGTGGTATCCCTGCATGGATGCCAAAGTTCAATTGACTGTGGCGGGACTGATCCATGTGACCATCTATTGACCCCCTCCAGCAGCAGTGGAGACTTTGGTAGTGTCTCGTCATCAAGGAGGGTAGCAACTTCAATAGACTGGCGGGTCTTGGAGATGATCCTCCCTAATATGCATGTTCATGCTGCCATCCCTGTTTTCAACCTGCCTGGGCATCACACAGACTTGCGGATCTTTTCCGGTCGCTGTCCTCGGCAATTAAAATTTGCTTCAATCCGATGATGCAATCTGTCGCTTGCGCGGCGTGTTGGTGAGTATAGACCTTCTGCCATCTGGCAAGCTCGGCTCTTTGTATGTAGTCATGAGTGCGGATGGCTCCCATTTCATGGCATTTACTGATAACACATGTCCTCACATTCTGACCTGGTAATATACGGTCGCTTGTCATCTAAGCACTCGGCAGTGGGAATGGATTGGGCGTAATTTCAATCTATTGAGACCCAGAGGCCACCATATTCGTGTATCGATCTGAGGTGATATCCATGGTGTAGCAGGAAAAAGGATGGTAAACGACATGTGCACGAAAACAAAGTACAGCTGATGATTTGTCCCAGCCACAGATATTTTACGCAATATGACAGCTTAATTGAATTGTTTTTATTCCCTTTTCCATAAGAAGAGCAGAGTACCGTGTAGGGCAAAATTAGGGACGGCGCGACTGCGATTGTGCGTTTCGTCTAATGGTTTTCTAACTAGGTGCTGTCCTTGGTCCCGATCGGCCTATAACTAAACGGCTCGGCAGCAGCCGTCCGACAAACTAGCCGTCTCTCTCTCCGTCCCCACCTCTCATCTTTCCCATTCTGCATTCTTCTGGCTGGATTCATACCACGGTCGCTAAGCTATGTGGGGCCTGATCAAAGGAATACTATGATGATACAATGGTGCTTAAATTCTCAGCTACAGATCGTCCATCGGTAGACTCACCATGTTTTACCGCTCACTCTGGTCTACAAAGAAGTGAGGTCATCTCTTGGCCTCCCCCTGCAAAGCGAATAAAGATGACAGGCTTTGCTCTCTGCAATCAATAACTGGGCAGCCAACCAGTTGGTATCGATCAAACATCTATCTGTGCTAATAGGCTACGCTCTAGTTATCGATAGCCGCAATGCAAAGCTCAGTTGATAAAGTTACACAGCAGAGTAGTCCTACGGTTCACTTGGACGCAAGGGTCGGCCACATACAGAGTCATGTGAGCGCAGAAGGTTCACAAAGTTCCACTGGAAAGACCACTAAAGGCTCCAGCTTGAAAGATCCAGCTTCTCCTGGGTTCGAAGCAAAGATGACTACTTTTTAGAAAAGTGACGGGCTTCAAGAAATTGAACTGGAGGTAAATGATCGGTTGCTTCGCCGGCTTTGCCGTGTTGTTCTTTTTGGTTGGGGGGCGCGGTGACTGAATAAGACTTTTTAGACTGTACTTCTGCTGACCTTTGTCTGGTCTGATAGAATGACGTCGAGCCTTTAGTGTTTATTGTCGGACAATAAACCTACAAATAGACTTTGTACTGGCCCAGTCCGGCAACAACACCTGGCCAGATCATGCAGCGTTCGCATCGCTGCGGGCAATGCCCACACCTTCCCGACCGAGCATTCCCTTCCACCTAGTACCATCTACGTCTTCCTTGTTCTCCGGTTTGCTCTGGATAAAGATCTTCTCAACAAGAATCAACCAACAATCACCTAAATTAAACCACAGACGAGCTTGCTGCTTCTCTTGCTCTTGCGTCAACTAGACGAACACCCCAGTCCGAGATGACCATAGCAATAGCTTAGCTGCTTCGTCACGCTGCTTCATCATCAGCTGCCAAGTATCAGCCAATAAGAGGCTTATGTTGGGAGTTAAGCTACAATGATCTTCTTTGCATTTTCTGCCGCCCTTCTTAGGAGGCCGACAACGAAGCATTGTGCGATCCTCTTCTTCTGGTCACTGACAACACCTTGGTCGGTCGTCAGACCAATGGGCGATTTCTGATGTTCATAACAACAAGCTCTATTGACAGTATGATCAGTATTACAAAATGGTGCTGTGGTCCTCGGGGTCCCACATTTGGCTCCTCAACAATATTCGCTCAAGGTGTTGACCATGGCTGTCCCCTCGGATAACGATGCTTCGTCAATACGTCCCCTGTCCGCAAATCACATAGCTGAACCGAATATTGTAGAAACAGAGAAATACTCGGCTGCTCAGGATTCTGTGTTTCCATCTTCTCCTGCACCCGATGGAGGCATCGTTGCCTGGGTACAAGTAGCTGGCGCTTTCTTCCTTTTCTTCAACTCCTGGTCGGTCTGCTGGATCATTCCTGTGCAGTCCCGTTAACTGACCCCGAGGACTATAGGGGCATAATCAATACATTTGGCGTTTATCAGAGCTACTATGAAACCAGACTGCTGAAAGGTTACTCTCCATCCTCTATAGCCTGGATCGGAACAGTTCAAAGTTTCCTCTTACTTTCACTGGGACTTGTCGTTGGTCCGATTTTTGATAGAGGATACATAAAGACCTTGCTTATAGGAGGGACGTTTCTGGTCGTGTTTGGACTGATGATGACCTCATTATCCAGGGAGTACTACCAATTCTTTCTGGCTCATGGCGTCGCCGTGGGCATCGGTTCTGGCCTTCTCTTCATCCCTAGCCTTGCCATACCCGTCACATACTTTACCTCCCGACGAGCCTTTGCCGTTGGAACTGTTGCATCAGGGGGCAGTGTCGGTAAGTCCTGATTCAAACGATTTCATCAAATTATACTCACTTGAAATTTACATGCTAGGCGCTGTAATTTATCCCATCGTGTTTCACAAACTTATCGACCGCGTCGGATTCGGCTGGACAACCCGCATAATTGCCTTTATTGCTTTAGCCGGCCTCCTCTTCTCCATAGCGGTGATGAAATCTCGCCTTCCTCCTCTTGAAAAAACTCGGCGGCTCCTTGATCTCACGGCCTTCCGTGACGTTCCTTTCGTTATCTACTGCCTCGCGCTTTTCTTCGACCTTGTGGGCCTCTACTTCCCCTACTTCTATCTCCCGACCTATTTCACCATTTATCTCCACGCAGGCGATAACATATCCTTCTACATCCTATCCATTCTCAGCGCCTCTTCTTTCTTCGGTCGGATTGCACCCAACATGCTCGCTGATCGTCTGGGACCGCTGAATGTCATGATTATCGTGAGTCTTATGGTCACTATCCTCGCATTCGCATGGATGGGCATACACAGTAACGCTGGCGCCATCTTCTTTGCTGTTTTCTATGGCTTCCCATCCGGAACGATTGTCGCCCTGATGTCTCCGGTCCTGGCGGGATTATGTCCGGACATGGCGATCGTGGGGACGTGGTTAGGCATGGCTTCTGTGTTTTCGGGGCTTGGCATTCTCATTGGCAATCCTATTGCGGGAGCGTTGTTGGATCTGGAGCATGCTGTTTTCTGGAAGGGGCAGCTGTTTGCGGCTGTTACGGTAGGAGCTGGGATGGTATTGTTTGTGGCGTTGAGGTTGTGGCAGTGGAAGGACGGAAAAGGGTGGAAGCTCTGACCGGAACCCAATGATTGTTTCATTTGTGCTTCGACGAAAGCGATCGATAATACAACAAGGTACGGAGTGCTAGTTTGCTCTGTTATATACTACTTACATACATCCGAGCTCAAAGCCATTAGCATCAATTAGAAAGACAGACCCTGCAATTACATAACATCAGAAAACTGAAACTAACCAACCCACATAGAGGTGATACGATGAGCTTACCAGTCATGTGGCTGGTTGACCCAAAAGTACTTTCTGTTTAGAAACTCAGCCCCAGATCAGCTCAGAAAAAGTCTCTCTGGTCTCTCGCATCTTCATCCTCACCCCACATCAAGTCCCAACCCCTTGCCAATACTTCCTTTGCACCGGTGCGCTCCAACCGGGCCGCATCCCACATAACATACCCCCACCTGTGGAATTCATCAGGAATGTAGCTCCCTAACATATTGCTGTATGTTCCTTTCCACAAAAGCGTCCATGCTAATGGCGGGTGCGCTCCGTTTGAGTAGTAGTAGTAGTAGTAGTAGTCGTCCACCCTATCACCCCGAAAAGGCAAAGGCTCTCTTCGCTCCTCCTTCTTATCCCGCTCAGAAGGTGCAATAGCTCGACGTCCACTTTGCGCCGCGTGGGTGAACGCGCCGTGAACATCTCCTTGGAGGAACTCCTCGAGCCAAAGAACCAAAGTCTGCTCCATTATGTTGACTAAATCCGCGTGCTCTTTAACCTTGAAGAATATAGTATACAACCGCTCGAGGCCTTGTGTAATAGTCCCGATTAAATAAGCATGGCTGTGCTCTTTATTCGCGGTTGGTCTGCCAGTTAGCTAGGATCGTAGTATAAAGCTTGCATATACTTAGAAGCTCACTAACGTGGTATATTCACCGCCCCATCCGGAGTAGGCGGTCTTTCCTGATCATCAAACCGAGGATTTCTTTCACTGAAATCCCAGGTCACAGCATCATGAATCGCACGACATTTTGTTTCCGCAAAGATATTGATGCAATTGATCTCCTCCAGTTCCCAGGGCTCCCATAAATCTTCCAGGAGCTTTAGAATATCGCCATCACTAAGTTGAAATTTTATCTTGAAAAGATCAAGCTCGTCCTTGTTAGGTCCCACGCCGAATACGTTGCAGCACAGTTGGAAGCGATACAGAGCGCGGATTATTCTGTGTTCTTCTGATTCACTCAGGTCTTCGTCAATCTTCGTATGTGTTGCTTCCGGCTCTTGAGCTAGATTTCCTAACGCCCAAACAGAATAGTGCTGTGCGAAAGGTTTCAAGACCGAGAGATAAAAGAATACCATATCTATGGCATCTTTCAATGTGAGTCCTGCCGTTAGATCTGAGTGACAGCGCCTTTCCGTGAGAGACCCAAAATACTCAAGGATTCTATCGTGGTTGCGTGTCTGCGAGAAGCCCACTGAGCTAGTCTCCTGGACAATGCAAGCTTCGAAGAAAATGCGGCCCAGTGTGGTTGCTAGGCAGTTGAGGAGAAGGCGCTTGCGATCCAGGAGATACTGGTTATGATAAACGGGTGATGCTTGAACTAGTGATTTAAGTCCTTCTACATTGAGTAGAAGGAGGATTTGAATTCTAATTTCTGCTGGCAGAGTTTCAAGATGCATATGTGAGTACGAACGGACCAAGTTGTTCATCGTGGAACTTTCAAGAAATCGATCGGCCAATATTGAAGTCATGAGAGGACTGATGATGCAAGCAGATTGTAAAGGGGTCTTTGAAAAATGGAAGGAATTTCTTGTATCTAGTATAGTTTCCGAGAAGTTGTTCGAAGGCGAGGGCATCCTCGAGTCCCTGACAAGCAGCCTGATCTTCTTTTGCCTGGTGTTTCACTAAGCGCCAGGAACAGCTGCAAACACTCTTTCACCACTCCACAATGGGGGGCTGAATTTGCTGATGACTAAAATAGAAGATCTAGTGGGTAACTTGCCTAAAACTCTATCTGTTGAGGTTATAGGCGGCACCAAGTGTTATGGACTGTAGTCCAATCATTAATGTTCGTATGTCTGGAGTGACTGCTATGCGCCGTCGCAGGGGAATGCATGCTACAGATATCTACAGATACACACTAACTGCTACCCCGCGTTATGCTCCTAAACGCGTGTACCAAAAAGAAAGCCTTAATACTGGGTCTCGAGCATTCAGTGGTACCAAAACCTCAATTATTGAGGGTATCCGGTAGCCCTTCGTGACTCGTAACTTGAGCCGAACACATTACGGATGAGTTTAGGGAGGATGCAGTATCGGGGAAGCTCATTGAGTCTGCAATTACATAACATCATTAAACCGTAATAAATCCAGCCACTCGTCTACTCCGACTTCAGGCTCTGGCGCAACTCCTCGCGCTGGACGGCTCCAAAGCGCAGGTTACCGACATCGAAGATCTGCAATCCAGTTAGTAAGCTTCAACATCGTCGGCAGCAAACGGGTATACTTACAGCGTAAATGCTCTTCAAAAAGGTATCTCCCAAAATATCCATGGTCATATCACCACGACTCTGGATACCTCCATATACATAGCCCGTCTTCGCCTCTGAAAAGGCCAGGTCCTCCTTTTGCACCACAAATTGCTTCTCGCCCACGGCGAAGGACACAGTGGGTAGCTTATCCTGCGCCGTATCGGTCGGGTAGATCCAACCCTGGACTTCCTGATCGTAATAAGCGCCGTCAATTGCGCTATAGATCGCCTCACACGTGTCATCATCCACCAACGCCAGCGTGGTGCCAGTATCAGCAATGGCGGTGTTACCCGACCGGTTAATAGTCTTTCCATTGACGGTGGCAGAGGTCGAGTTGAAGAGCCAGAAGCCTTGGCTGTTATCGACGGGGGTGTAGTAGACCTCTTCGCCTGCCGTCTTCACCAGATCCTGATCAATGAAGCCAAAGGTGTAGAATGACTCGTCATCAGTGTCCCGCCAGGTATCCAGCTTAGCGGTAAACAGCTCAGCGGACTTTGGAATATCATCCTGCAGGATCATGTTCTCGACAGGCGTTTTCACAGACTTTGGCTGCACAGTGTTGATGTTGCTGAATGCTAGACCGAGCAATCCGTCCCCTTCGCCTTGGGCGAATGTGGTGGACATCTTCTCCGCCAGCTCGACGGCTTGGTTCTTGACTACTACGCCGCCAATGTTGACGTCGTCGGTGCCAACACTCCCCGATGCGGAGGATCCATCTCCATAGGAGATTTGCCAAGATTCGCCTTCCAGAGTCTTGAAGGTGCTCGATTTGGACGAGTCGAAGATGGCATGGGTCTTGTTCTCGGATAGAAGGGTTGAGGGGAGTTTGTTCGACCAGACCTACATCTGTCAGTACAATGATTCTCATTTAGGTCTTTCATTATGGAAATGTACCCAGAGGTCAGCGGAACCAGTGTCAAAGTCCAACTTCAGGTTCTGCGCTGGGGTTCCGATACCCACGGTCGCCAGGTACATGGAGTCGTTCTGCACATCTTCGGCCGGGACCTCGCCAACCTCATCGCTGGTGGTGCTCTTCTTCCGCACCAGCTGGCGAATATGAGCCCGACCTCCGATGGGCTTGTCAGTGTACGGACGGCCGGTCTGTTGGATGGAGCTGCTGAGGGTGTAGGGACCAGGCTTGGTGGGGTGGAAGCGATACTTGCGGATCAAGTGCACATAGGACTTGGTGCCTGAACGCTTGTAATTGAGGTTAGGGATGAGCTTGATTTTGGTAGCCATGATGGATGATGATTGATCAGAGTGGAGGGGAATTGGTATGGAAGAAGTTGAGTATGAGATGAAGAGAAAATGACGAGAGAGAAAGAGAGAAATCACCAGCCTTTTAAACCACCTACCCAGCCAGCAGCTAACTAACTAACTACTAGCTGGCTAGTTAACTAGTAAGTGACCCAAGATTGAGACGTCATTCTCTCCCCTCTCTTCCAGCGTAGCGACATGCATCCACTGACAGTCCAGTCTCGGCAGCCGACCATTTCAGCTGGCCCTGGAATCTCGCCCCCAGTCGGGTGATGCAGATTGATTGAATGATTGGTTTCAGCTGATCGCGAGATCGGCGCCGATGACGCGATAAGCCCATGACTTATCTTATCGTGGAGGCCCAGAACCGGGACATTCGTCGCACTATTCAGGCCGAGTTGTGTTAGGGCCAGTTAGTGGCGTGGTGCGACGGGCCTGTCATCTTGTCCCGTTGGTCTTTCAAGCTCCGGTGATCGTCAAGCTTGGCGTCTCCTCCCCGAATTGCTTCAGGTCAGCCACTATCAGTGACCCCCGTGTTATTGGTGGGATTGCTTATCATCATTACGCAGGTCTTCTTCATGATGTGATGTGATTTATTTTGTTAGTTTCGTTTTATTATTGGTGTCGTGTGTCGTCGCCACTTTTTCTCTCTCTTCTCCCTTCCCCATGATGGATGGCACTGAGATTCTGTGCCCTTATTTTGTTTCTCCTCCCGGGCGGCCCGGCCCTAACCGGGTGGCTCTGTCTCCATCTTCTGTTTTTTAATAGCATATTCTTACACAACCCCTGAGGAACAAAGAGATGGCGACACTGTACGATTGAGCTATTTTCTGGTCTGTCGGTACATAAACAAAGATAATGAGTCCTACAGCTGTTTCGACCTCCCATATGCAGACACCAGAAGTTGCAGGATGCGGAGTAGCAGGCCTCAGAAATGCCTCATGGCTCACAACAATTCAAAGCATCAATGGATTCTTTATGAGACCGGTCTATATGAATGATGTCATCAAGTCAGACAATGAGGAGATATAGCTGTGATATGGTTACGATGCAAAGATGCCTATGTAACTAGTCATAATTGCACGCAAACCATGGCCGGAATCACCTCATGGAGTTTACTCTTTATCGCTCCGGTGCGGTAGGCAGCCTAGTAATTCTGCCACGTCCAGAACGGATCATCATGGATATAATCACTGTGCGGCCAAATGGGTTACTGTTATACCCTAATTTCTGCTCACATGAAAGCAGTCAATGCATTTACGATGACTCAATCTATACCATTGTCATTTACTTTTTCTTACATAGTACACCTTCTCAATGAGGGCGCAGAGGGGTAAGAACTTTAATCATGTACGAACCTTAACAGTGATCAGACCGGCTGACCGCTCATTGAAACGGACATGACATGTCCCTTGAGGTCTTCCTCTTCTAAAGCTAGACCATGCATGAGATCACACATGGTGCAGTACCACGGGTTTTGTGTTACTTGATCTATCGATACGCGAGAGAGCCGTACTTCTGTATTCATCTCTAACAAATGCATCGATATCACAGTATTCAACTACGCATACTAGATATCTCTTGAGGATATCCTAACCGCTTCAGCCCCTCAACCCACGCATTCAGAATCCACTCCCATCTCCACGCTCACAGGAAAAGAAAAGAAATAAATCTCATCTTAGCTTCCCCACAAGGCTACTAGACTCCAGCACCACGATAGATGTGGTTGCAGCCGGCGGTTTCTGTCATCTGTCAGGGCTCGGATAATGTAATCTATAGGCAATATTCGGGTAGCTCGTTGATCTGCATGTCTTGCTTTGATACCAGAATCAGTTCATTGTCTCTATCTATTCCTATTTTTCATGACCCGTGCAGAAAAGATAAAATGATTAACTTACTACTTCAATTATTATGTATATTCCAAGATGATACTTATAAGATATACATTTTGAACCAGGCTGGCCTGGCACAGGTTAACCATCTTTCTTGTTGAGATATATTGAGGTCCTATTGATTCGCATTGGCAAATCATTTAGGACGGTTTTAATGACGATATCTCAAAGCCCGCGATCAGTCTTAATCGTTGAACAGTAGACCTTGTTTATAGTTAAACAGAAAAACAGTCTGTTAGCGAGAAAGGCTTGCTCTGGGCCACTGTTGCGGGGTCTGAAGGGCGAGGGGATTCACGACGCCTTGCATTCGTCACAGTAATTATGGTTGCAGTCCAAACGATTCACCTTATGAGCGAAGAAACTCTCATAGCACACACAGCATCGAGTTTCCGTGGCGGCGGACTTCTCCAATTCCAAGGCCTGTCTTTCTCTGTATGTCTACTCTGGTGAGGATGAAACCTTGTACGACGACCTGAACCTGGACAACGAGGCAGAGGTGCAGTTCGGCATGATAGGGGACAAGGACTTGCAATCGGATGGATTGAGCAATCTGCGTTGGGTCAACCTGGCTGCCTCGACCTAGTGTATCATGCATTGCCGATGAATAGGCGACAATAGCCCAGGATTCTAATGTCGGCGGCTGTGTTTGATAGCTTGATATTAAACATGTCTGCGCCGATACTCATTCCATTATAGGATATGGACATCTACCGCCGTGCGAAGGTTTTCGAGAGAGCGCTTGCATTCTACGAAGCTGCCTCCTTGTATCGCTCAGTCTGGTGTAATCCCACTTGTAGAGAAATTGCAGCGCCTTCTCGAGATAGATGGGCTCGAGCTCCTCTATCATGATCTTTTCAGAAGATTTTCAAACCGACGCATCCATCGCATCTTCCGCTATCTGAACTACCCCCATCATTCTCATTCCATTATATACCGATGCATTATTTCTCTAGCGACCACATGCGCAGGATGAAGGTTCGAGCCTCCATGTACGGGCGTATTGTATCATACCTGGCACCACCACCACCA